GGAGTCATGGACTTCATCCATCGTCATGAGCTACTTAACAAATCCCAGCATGGGTTCCTCGACAAACATTCCTGGAGAACGTGTCAGTTGCACTACCTGGATTACATCACAGAAGCCATTGATTCGAAATATGCAGTTATAATACTACTCCTGGATATGCAGAAAGTATTCGACAGAGTGCCCCACAAGCAGCTACTAAAAAGAATCGAATCGTTTGGAGTCAGAGGCCCACTATTTGCGTGGTTGACATCATACCTAAATGGGCGTTACCAGATAGTCACTCTGAGTAACCATAACTCATCCCCACGTCCAATCACTAGTGGTGTCATCCAAGGGAGTGTACTTGGCCGTTCGCTTTTCCTACTTTATATTAACGATATCACGGTGTTCATAAAACCTGGTAGGCCATTTTTGTTCGCCGATGACACAAAGATTGTTGATAAATTTCGACGAGACGAACTCAATAGCACAATGCTGTTCGTTCAAGAAGACCTCGATTCACTTGAGAAATGGTGCAACACATGGATGCCAAATTTCTCATCTAGTAAATCATGGATTATGTCACACGGATGTTTAATCCATGAAGAGTTTGTTAAACGGAACGATGAATGTATCTGTGCGAAACTATCCAACTGTGATCTAGGCATACGATACTCTTCAAACTTTAATTTTTCAGAGTAAGCTGAGTATCAGATAGCACGTGCCAAACGATCTGTAGCTAACATATGCCATAAAATCTATACAACCCCTGCCAAATTCGAGCTTTTCAAAATATTCACACTTCCTGTCCTTGAATACTGCAGCATCATCTATGGGAACATGCGAATGGGCGACAGGAAAGCTTTAGAAAACCTGCAAAGATCATGCACTAAGCGCTTGTTTAGGAGCGCTGCCAGCAGCTTAAGCCTGTGCCCCTTTGGTTGCGACGACTGAAACATAACCTGATGCTGATACACGAACTCATAAACCAAAAGGCATACTCCATTCTGTGTAATATTCAACATAACTTCACTCGGCATATACGCAACAAGACCTGTACATTATGTGTGCCGAGAACCAGGACAGCTATCCGATCCAAATTCTTCCTAATCAGACACGCTGTCGAGTGCAATAGCCTACCAGCCACAATCATGTCTTGCACAAATGCAAAAACATTCCACATTCAGCTTAGCAAATTCCTTGACCAGAACTCGATAATGACCATGTCTCTATCGGGTTAATCACCACACGAGTTCTTCCAGGATGAACCAAGAAATATATAATCAAGGATCAAAGATGGTACAAAGAACTCAGCAACAACAAAAGTTACGTGATTCCAAATTATTTCGATATCATACACCCTATATTACATATTTCACTCATACATGAGCACGATAATTATTGTACTCATGATCTGTCCACAATCCAGGGACAGCGTCTCGGATAACCGGGAAATATACCTAGTATTATTATTACTTTACAAAACCGCACCCACTTTACGCACCTTAACAGAGCCAAGTTATTCGCACTTTGCTCTGGTCGTGGGGTTTTTCAGGGAACGATACTCTCTCACTCTCTACTTTCTTTATATATCGAAAAATTCCTATACCACTCAAGTTTATAGGATGCAAACACGCTGATGATACCACTTTGAGATGTATGGAGACATCTTATACGCTTTAGATTGTTCTGGAGGGGTATAAGTCGTTGTTGTCGTCCCTGTCTCTCATTCTGAAAGCATCTAAATGTTTCGATTTAACACTCTCTATTCTGGGGGCAGATAATCCTCACGTTCTTTTGAATGTCACTTTTCCCGTAGTAGGAAGTGACCATATGGAACACAGGACGTCAACTGTCAAATATCCTGGGCTCTTCTTATCCCAAAACCTGTCTTCATGTAGTCAGATCGTCAAAACCTTTACCTGGTTGAAAGACAATCTTTGTACGTCAGAAGACTTAAAATGTCTTCGATACCCCATGGTTTGATCTCTAACCATACGGAGGATCGAAGGATGCGTATCACTGACGTGCCCCAATAGGGCGAAACGGCCGTCTGGTGCTTTTCCGGATAGGTAGTGGACTTATCTGTTGTCGGCTGACTGCGACGAACAAAAATACTCGCCAAAATCCTTCTACTCATAAGTAATACTAGGTTTCAAGCGGGACGAAATAACGCGCATTAAACTATGTGCTCTACAGCCCTCTCCGTAATGTAGTGTTGAGGAAACCTGCATTCATGTTCATGTGAATCTGAACTTTGACCTTTCTCTCTCTCATTATTTTTTTACTTTTGGTTTTGTAATCCTCTCTGTGGTACTCCTCTACGGGACACGTCAACCTCGCCTCTTTACCGGTCATAAATCATGGCTTATTTGTGCCAGAGAGGAGCACACTGTAATGGAAATGAAAAGACTGCTTACCAGGATCAGCCATGATGCCATAGGTCTAGTTATCACTCATACGTACAGATGATCGTTGCTGTGGGAAACGTCTCCCGCTTGTCGAGAAATAAACAGTTACTTACTTAGTTTATCCATCCATGAATGCCTACGAAATGACATTCTCCCCAGAAGTGTAAATTACAAGCCTCCGACAAACCATCCACAAGCGTGGGCACTTACAAGGTAGTTTCGAAAACGTATAGTGATGATGATGATCACTGATGCACACAATCAGATCGAGAAATATGAAAGAAGTCTTAAGGAACACCCAACTACATGCCTAAAAATAATCGGCCAACAAATGACAGAACAGTTAGACTTAACGATTGATCGCAAAGCAACAATTGCAAAAGCGAAAAAGCAGGCCGCCCTTGGAGAAAAGTTGTCCAAATTATCCAGTTTGAAGTGCGCAGATGTCAACGACGGTTGGGTCAGGAACCTGTCCAAACGGTATCTCGATGACGTTGAACGACAGGTCCTCATCAAGGGACTTAATCACAACTTCAAGGATGCTGGAACCATGGAGTTGCTAGCAGAATTCGAAAATACCTTACAATCCAATGGACTTAAGGAAGAGACCAAAACACAAATAAGGCATGCCATGGTTCCGATCTAGCACGTAACAGGCAACACAACTCTTTTTCACAACAAGAGTGCCCTAAAATACTTGAAGGCCGACGAAACCATCGTAATCTTGCATGCGGACAAGGGACGTATGACTGTCATAATGGACAAAACTGATTATATTGAAAAAGCAAGTCATCTGCTAGTCGACACAACAACCTATCGATGCATGGAGAAAGATCCAACAGTACGGTTGACAAATAAAGTGAATAAGACACTTAAGAAGCTTCAAGAATTAAATCAACTCACAAAGGGAGAGTATGATAGGATGAAGGCTCGTGATCCAAACACCGCACAGTTTTACGGGCTTCCTAAAGTCCACAAAGAGGGTGCGCCGCTACGACCAATAGTATCACTCCCAGGTACACCAACTTACAACCTGGCTAAAAAATTATGGAAAGGCCTTAAACATCTGACCAGCGGATCGCAATACGCGATCAATAATGCTCATCAGTTTTTGGAAATGCTCAAATGCATGCGGATAGACCATGAAGAAGTGATGGTATCCTTTGACGTCACCGCACTTTTCACCTCCATCAACTTACAGATAGCGAAAGAAAATATCAAAGAACGTCTGAACCAATGGAGGACAAACGACTGGGAAGCTAACAACTGAAAGCATATGCAAGCTCCTCGACTTGTGTCTTACTACTTACTTCAAATTCAACGGCGTGTTCTACGAGCAAGTTAGAGGAGCTCCAATGGGATCCCCCATATCTGGACTTATTGCAGAAGTTGTCATGCAGATGTTGGAAGAGGATATACTCCTAGTCGTTAGTCCAAAATTATGGGTACGATACGTTGACGACACGTTTGTGATTGTCAAACGCAACCAGCTACAGACCGCACAAGACCTCCTTAACAATGCAATGGAAGGCATTCGTTTCACCATGAAAGAAGAGGTGGAAAAGCAACTACCCTTTTTGGGCGTGCTGGTTACTAGAAGAGTGGAAGGCGAATTACAAACATCAGTTTACAAAAAAGAAACACACACCGACCAAATCCTAAACTTTAACAGCAATCACCCTAAGTGTCACAAAATAAGCTGTATACGGACCCTGTTTCGTAGGATAGAAACGCATTGCAATACTGCAGAGGCAAAACGAAAGGAAGAAGAACATCTGTTTATGTCTTTCATTCGCAACGGCTAGCCACGCAGTTTCATCCGAAGACATTTAAAGCGAAAGAGCACAACTACCGCACCTGCACCAACAACGACGAAACACATCGCCTTGCCGTACATCAAAAATGTATCCGAAAAGACAGCCAGACTCCTCAAACCGCACAACCTGACGATAGCTCACATACTAATTGGAGTTTGAAAAGAATTTTATCTAGACCTAAAGAGACTGGAGGCACACGAACGCCAAAATGTCGTCTACAGGATACAATGCGAGAACTGTGACAAAGACTATGTAGGTCAAACGGGGAGCAAACTAACCACAAGAATACAAGAGCACAAGCGTGCATGTCGATACCATCATGTATCGTCACAGATCTCAGCGCACCTCGATGATGAAGGACACAACTATAACTGGGGCAAAACAGAAATTTTGGCGCACGGAGGGACAAGAAAAGGAAGGGAATTCCTCGAGGCATGGTTCTCTACGGAGAATTCACTGAACCTCCACATTGACCTCGATCCCGTGTACCCACAGTTGAGAAAGCGTGAAACTAGACGGCCAAATATCGAACAAACAGAGGTCAGGGGACACAGATCGACGAGGCTAATTTCAAACGCTACGTCCCGACGACACTTTCCGTGAGATTTTCCTCTACGGAGCAGTGCACTGAAGATGCCACTGAGGGAAGTGGTGAAACGTTTGTCATTAAATTACTCAGCTCGGAGGACGAATCAAAACGTTAGTTTATCCATCATTTTTGCTGCCATTATGATTATTCTCAATATTGTTCTAGTTGGTATAATGTATTATGGTGTGCACAAGTATTGCTTACCAAGCGCTCCGGTTTCTCCGTTGGTTTCCACCACAAATACGGCCGGTTTGTTTACCACACCGCCGGACAGACCCGGTCCGAAAGCACGGATACGTGACTCTTTGTAAGGTCCAACGTCCACCTAAAAGTGAAAAAGGATTGATGCCAGCACAAAATAGGAAAGCGAGACAGTCAAGATCATCGCCGTTACTAAGCGCATCCTACGACAGCATAAGGTAAGGATGTCCAAACTTTTCGTAAGGAGGACCGCACATTTTGTGTGGTGAAAATATGTCGGGCCATATTCAGTCTGACGTTAAAAGAATAGAAAAGATTAGACATGTCATAAATTGTCTAATACAAGACTTTGGTGTGAAGGGGGGGGTGAAGCTGAGAAGTTGAGATCTGTATTTGTTGATTCAACTAAAACCCCTTTAGTAGAGACACTAGATTGACTTTCCTTAATTAGTTAAAAATAAACCGTACAGCAATGATTTTTGCCAGCATCTGACGCCAATGAATTTTGTACTCATAATATCCTTAAACTTTTTGCAATCTAGTTAATATCGTCTGTACGAAAACATCCAAGTTTGAATTTATTATTTCATGATGAGGCCGCGGGCCAGTTGAGGTGTTAACGCGGACTACATTTGGCTCGCGGGCCGGATTTTGGACACCCCTGGCATAAGGTGCGGCTGGCCATAAGTCCTAATTTGACCCCCTAAGCCACGTGTCAGTCGCCAGACAAAATCAGTTAATGCCCTCAGAGAACTGCATTGATTATGATGGCCTTGGTTGATGGAACGTCGTGTTTCTTCAAGTCAAGGCCCACACGGCGCCTAACACTCAAATAATTTTCAGTACATCCGAAATGATTTGGAATATTGGTAGCTCGGGAGGCTTGCTCAGTTATTGTGGAGTTCTCCGAGCTGGGCAACTTGATTGCGAACTTGATTGCGCCACCATTCAAGTTGGTATCGTCAGTGCGGGATTGATAGCAGTTAAGTAGCAGTAGCTAGTAAAAAGCAAATCCAATAATGGGTTTGCGTTTGCTTTCTACCAGCTACTGCTACTTAACTACTATCAATCCTGCACTGAAGATGCCACCTCGAATGTTGGCGAAACGTTTGCAATCAAGTTGGTCAGTTTCAGTACATACCTAGCAACACACCCTCGTGGCTGGATCAATCGTGCGATAAAATCGAGTGTACAAAATTGTATTTACCCTTGGTTAAGATCAGTAAAAGTACTTTTACGAAGAGGCAGTCTTGTTCCTCAGGTTCACTCCTCAAATGTAAATTGAGCCTTCAGTGTCGGATTATCGCTAAGTGGCTGGGTACATCTTCTTCCTTGTTCATCCTGTGGTTAGGAATCAGGGTATCGATCGGTCAATGCTCGTATTCTGTTCAACTACTCCGCATAAGGGGGAAATTCCGAAGCAGTTGCTGTGCCAATCGCTTGCCCCTGAAAGCCTGATTTTTGCGAGTGCATTTCATTCTTCACTTATCTGAGTAGTCACATGGGATCAATAGTCGAGGTGAGAGCATACGTTTCTCAATACCAGCCAGACCGGATATACATACGACTTGGGAATGCGGTCCAAACAGACGACAACGCATGCTCAGAATAGGTCTATTACAGTGGAATCTCACTCACGTTGAACGGACTGAGCATAATGTGGTCTCCACCGTAGCGGACGTGAACTTGGTGGAGACCAGGTCTCTGAGGATGATAACCACATTCGAACAAGTATGCGCCAGTTTTTCGTGTGGTGCAGGGAATTTCACGACCATCTGTGAAGACAACAATACAACATTAACCAATTTGCTAAATTGAATGAGTGAGGTTACAGGTTTCCGCAACAGTTTTGTGAATTTAGGGTGGGTAGGTGACCTAGTAACCTCACGGTTAACAGCGCGCTAAGTGATTATTTGATAATAAAATGGCTACATTTTTGGCACAGTACTAAGCTATCCGTTCTACCCTATAAGAAACGATGAAAGTCCTGAAAACCATCCCACGTATGCGGTGCGGTCGTAATCTTTCGCGCACCACTTCAAAGCTACCGGTAGTTGGGCCCTGACAAATGCACGCGGAGTAACACGCATAATTCAAATGTTTTTCCTATCCTCAACTAATGTTTCCAACTCCCGATGTCACACTGTTCCCGTCACATTTACGTGTGCTGTGTCATACGGTAGACACTCGCCATCTGCCCGGGCGCGTGGGCTGCGTCATATCGATCGAGGTATTGGTGAACACCACACTACACCTGGACTAGTGCCCATAGCGGATCAATGAATGTAAGTGCGGCGCCGTAGGTCGTAGCTGCACCAGATTGGTTCATTCTGCCCTCGGATCGATGCAAGTCCAGCTTTCCTCTCATGCATCGGCAAGGGTGAAAAGTGAAGTGCCGAATAGGCTTGCAGTCGTAGGCTATTCTTAGTGCGCATGAAACATCGGTCAATGGACCGGTGAACTCACTCGGGCTATAGAATTGGTGGGTTAAGCTTGCCATGGGTCATAAATCATACTGAAATTAAGCAAACAGTGAAAAATGCGCTGTGGAGGTAGAAAATGTATGTGATGCGCAGTCACATCAATGGAAACCTTGAGACTATCTGCGCACTGGTGCAGACGAATGCCGAATTTGGTGGGAATGTAGGTAGATTTGTTTTAGCCCGTTTCGTAAGTTTACCTCAGTAGTTCTATATCGAACAGTGAGTGGATTAACAGGCCACCAGATGGTTTAGCATGAATTTCTCACCTGGTGCAATCACAGCTACCTCCAAAGGACCTTCTCCTGCGTCTTCCGTGTGGACCTTGAAGTCGGCAAGATCCTTCACACGGACTCCCTGAGGTTGTATACCACGGCCGGTTGCATAGGCTTGTTTCGCGTCGCAGGCTAAAGGCAGACAATAAATGTGTGATCATTCCAAGTAAACAAGCTCAAACAGTTTGGCCGCGAAGGGCATTATACCTCCGTCTCATACTTAATTCAAGAGCGGATCGAGAAGTGGCTTCACACTCCACGCTTATGCTGTTAAGGCAGGGTCGTCATCAACTGGTCTGCTTTGATAAACTCTAGGCGGGGTATCGTGTGGTGGGTTGAAGTAAACTTGTGTCCCTTACTGAACTCACGTAAACGATTTGAAGGAGAGAAAGTTAATCGGTGTTGCCAGTTTTTTCATTCAGATAGTTTTCTCTTTCGAAGAGATGAAACATAATGCGGATGAAAATTGTACGTTCAACAGGCAAAGCATGGAGCCGACATCCTTTATGTTTGTGATGAACAACTAAATAAAAAGTATACGTATTCCGTCCTTATTCGTCAAGTGTTCAGTTTAATGTAAGTGATTGTGAAGGTTCACCACTGACCTGGACGTCGGGGAGCTGACATTTTCCTGGGGGCTTGCATGGCTTGGACCACCTCTGAAATGGACAGGCTGGATCTGAGCTCCATCAAGTGGTTGGAGGGCATGCTGAGAGCATTGCGAGCGTGCGAGTGTTCGACGATGCGAGCGAGGGGAGGAGGTAGTATGGACCATACAAGTTGGTGACCTCATCGTCATGCAGCAACGAAAAAAGCTACCACTTTCCGATACGACAGTTCTATGACTTGCCCAAAGTTATCTAAAGATCAGCTTGAATGAGTCCACAAGCCACTCATACCCCGACCGTATCCCTTATCGTGTCTGATGTCGTCACTGACTTAAACACATCGCGTTACTTGATCATCAACTAGTGTACTTCTGTGATCTGGCTTCTTACGGCAAAGAAGACGACATGTGCTTTCTTATTTGGGTCATACCACACATAATGAACATGGTGAGGATGTAGTTACTTACTGCGGTTTTGTGGTAATCGCGCCATGGCCTAGAGATCGATACCTCCACTTTGCAGTACCATGGTCAGAGTTTCTGTTCCTCACGTCAGCGAAGGTATACATGCATCTTACGAAACCTGAGAGACTGATGATGCTTTAGAAAATATTGTTGAATGGCTAAGTGGTTCAGTTGTAATGAATCCATTGCGATGACGGTGAACCCCAACCTGTTTTGCAATGGTGTGTGTGTCTCTATGACCCACTGGGATACATTGGTTAGAACTTTTCTATTTCCTCCAGTGATTCAATCCGGATAGATCAATGATTAGAGGTCGGCCACCGGTTGTCCCCATCCGTGGGAATGCACGATCCTTGCACGCCTATTTGTTACCGATAGCAGGAGGTCAGGAAATTCCTAGTCAAAAGGCACTAACTTACTAAGTTCGCTTGGGGATCAGTTGCAGTGATCGAAGGTGCATCATGAAATGCGGTCATCCAGGACTGCAGATGATTGACCTAAGATAGATTCCAATCCCGAACTGGATACGTGGACTGTCATGGTCATCATTTTGGATGGGAAGACTCTTCGCGACTCAACTGATCGAACCTCCATTCGGAAGGATATGACGGGCAATCCGCCTATTCTGAAACTTACTCACCTTGACTGTTGAGGTCGTTTAAGGATTTATTAAAATTGGTCTCCAGAGTTCATTGCGGCAGGTAGGCGCAACAGAGCTGCCATGTCTCTGCCTCTCTGCGAATCTTGGTAACCTAACGGATCATGATGAGCACGGTTTCGCATGTTTCCTCTGGCGTAGACAGACTGACAAATGGCCAAGAAGCAAAATCTTGCGAAGTTATACCCGGCCACTGTGCAAACTTTGATGTATGAGCCACTATAAAAACTAGTGCTGTGGGATAGAGTCAACGTAACAATTTTTATTGCCATCTCTAAACATCCCCTAGAAGTAAGAGATTGGGACATCGACCAATGTGGCTCTTCCAACTCTGGTGGTAGTCAAATCATCAGGGAGGTTGATACAAGGAATGGAAAGGACCGAGTGCCTTTTCAAGGCTTTAGTCGCGCACGAACACGTGCGTGGCAGCATTGGATGAGCCGCATTGTATCACCCATTACTCAGTGGCTTTAGTCGCCTACTCGCAATAGAAATAGCATAGGTTCGGATCCAGGAGAACTCGGTGAGTGTGCGTTGTTCGCGAGCTCCGAGTAGATGAAGTATCCATTCGCCGCCTTTCGGGTTGTGTGGTTACTTTCTGACTGGAAATTGGCTGCAATGAACCATTGCAATACACTCAAAACACTAAAACACACTTTGCTACTCTCTAACAAGAAATGCAGGCTTATTAATCACTATTCCAGTGCACAGTGCTCCAATGCTGCTAATATTACTATGTGAATATAAAAAGTCATTACTCAGTACAGAGGACACACTGGATGTGCTTAAATACAGGCGCTTGCGCAGCGTCCCTTGTCCTCGGTGGGACCACAGAAAGAACAGTGCTCAACGCCACTAGTTAGTGTTCGAGAACAAACCATCGGCATCGCTCTTGCTAGTCTCCCGAACTTAAACCGCCCACCTTGGCTAGGTCAGTTGATGCCATGCTAAAAGCGCCAAAAAAATAACTGGCCGGAAAACTTTGTAGTGCTGATGCAGACTGTCTTCTTTCTAGGAAGCGATCGATCAGTAATTGGAGATGCTTTCCGAGGCAGTGTAGTCACGCAACTAATGGTGCCACTGCATTTGAACCAAAACTGCGAATGGTTAAGTCTTATCTAACGAGTATTTCCTCTCCAGTTTTGGTTTGTGTAAGTGCATTCTACATCCACTTAGTTACCGCAACTGTTGTTAACTATTAGCAACGGTCTTATTACTATAGTTGTGATGCTAGCCATAGTAACTGGGTCCATCTAAGCTTGGTACCCCAATTGTAACTAGTCAAGAGATTGGAGCATTATAGGTAGAAATTCGTCACATCTAGACTCACTCAAACAGCCGTCACACGCCCGGAAAAGCACTGTACGCGCATTTCATCCTTTCTGGAATCGTCAGCAGTGCGCATTCCATCGGATGCTGGTAGGGCTCGAAGCCGCAACTCAACTGTTGCCAGTCCGTCGTCGAGAACACAGAGCTACGGGGGACGGCAACGGCCATCGTAAATAAGTTACTAGATGTGATATAGCGCCGCTCACTATCCACTATTCACGATGGTCGTTGCCGTCCCCCGTAGCTCAGTGGTCTCAATCACGGACTGGCAACAGCCGAGCTGCGGGTTCGAGCCCTACCATGGTCCGATGAAATGCGCACTGCTGACGATTCCAGAAAAGATGAAACGCGCGTCCAGTGCTTTTCCGGGCGTGTGAGGGCTGTTTGAGTGAGTCTAGATGTGACGAATTTCTACCTATACCATTCAACTCCCCATACTACCCTTCTGTAAAGGTTGGAGCATTGTTGATGGATTCCAGTTGGCCACTTCCCCCTGGGCGCTGCATGTTCACAGCTGAAGAGGCATTCTACACTCCAATCTTGAGGTACGCAAACACATATGCAAACACGAAAATCTCGTAATAACCACCGCGTTGGATTCTGTGCAAATGAATTCAATCTCCGTAGCCATGCACAGTCTTATGGAAACCGAGATGTCTCGACCATGGGGGGTAAGGGGCGGGAATGCGGTTAAGTCAAATGAATGCATCAACTTGGACACATGCTCGAGCACAGTTATGCAGTGCGGCCAAATCATGCAACATTGTCAACATGCGCTTATCACCTTCCTGCACGGGAATTATCGGCGCGGGCGATTGCAAGGACGCCTGCGATGGCAATCCTGCACGAGGTTCGGATGAGCGGCGGGTGGAAGAATGAATGTTGCGCAATCATGCAATGCATTGTAAAAGAAAATATCAAATATATGGGGATAATGTTACTGATACCTAGAACGATAAAACGATTCGCTACGATGAATGCTCATTTGTTGCGTACATGCACTGATCTGCTCTACCCGCTCGTTTTCCGAGTATGGGAAATGATGTGTAAAGTAGGGTTGGTGAAGTTATTGCCAACATGTACAAGCAGAATGTTAGTGTTGTGGGCCCGTCAAATATTCCCGCAGAAACGCGCCAGAAACCCTGGCAGAATGGCTGTGGAAAGCGAGGTCCAATTCCTCCCCACAACGCAGCAGCGTTTAGCCACTCCGAGACGCGGCACAACTTCGCACCTGGTGACAATATTCTTTTACAAACTGCCACCCCGTTGCGGTAGCTATTTTTACTGACGTAGTGACCCATAGTTTTGCCTGTGATTCGCCCTTCGTTGGTCGTTAAAGAGCCTTCAGACGACCACTTGCCTTTCTTCCTCTTCGCCTTAGTTGTCAGTCGGTCGGTCACGTGATTTTGTGTGTGTCGTTAGCCGGGCATCGTTCGCGTCTAAGTCGCTAGTGCGCATCTATTGTAACCCACTCTCGTGCGCGTCCGTTCCGAGGGCTAAGCGTCTAGGATCGCGCTCACGCTCACTCAATTTCCGACTCACCAGCGCGTACCCCGGGCTAGGCTAACGCCACCAGATCAGCGCGAATCCGTTCGATTGGCCAGCGTTCCAAACCGTTACCGTAGGCGTGCTCCAACCGTGCCGGTGACAAGCTTATCAGGCGTTACGCAATCATAACAGAGGCGTTCCCTCAATTATAACAGTTAGGAACCAACCACATCCACCAAAATAGCCTGCTTCATTCAGACTCTGATACGCAAACTATATGTGTCGGGTAGGACTTGTCCCAGTTTACCTCACAGGTAACCGTAGGGAGCAACAGTCTACCGTCTCTAGCTCATTCAATATGAATACAATTAGCAAAAAAAGATGGCTTCAGCGTCTTTTGTTAGTTGGAAAAACACAGCCAACTTCGTGTATTTTTATTGAATGGATGAATTAGATTATCGGGTATACAAGGGGCGTCACCATTGCTGGATACGCTATGGACGCCCGAGGTGTTGTTGAACTCGTTGCTACCGACATTGCTAATGCTCCGACAATAACCCGAGTAACAGTGGACGACTGCCTAAC